AGAGAACAAAATTTAAAAAATGTTTACAAAAAAAAACGAAATACTAAGTAATAATAAGGTACAACTACATGGTATTAAAAAAATTAGACAAAAAATATTATTCATAAATTTAGACGCACGATACATTAGAAGGCGAAATTTATGAACCAATCAATATCTTGTGTATCCGCTTTTTGCTTTAATACAAATAAGAACTCTTCTAGGCAAAGACTCAACAAGATTTTTGCACGTCGCTTCTGACACCCTATACCAGGTTTCCTTAAGGAATTCCTTCAGCTGACCAAGTGTGGAAATTGGAACCTTTGCTAATTCATGATCAATCCAAGCCCAAATGTTTTCAATCGGGTTTAAATCAGGTAAATATGGAGGCCACGGTATTGTCATAATATTATTATCGTTGAACCACTCCTTTGTATAGTATGCAGTGTGTGCAGTAGCGGTATCTTGTTGAAGTTTCCATGGTTTATCATGGAGCATAAGCAGGTCAATTGATGGAATAAGGTTGTTTTCCAGTACTTCTACGTGTAATCTGGAGTTGATTCTTCCGGTGTATGTTTGGCACATACCAACACCTTTGTAATGAAGCATAACCAGATTCCTATCGAGCCTCCTTCACTTTGTACAGTTGGTCTAATGTACCTGGCGTAATACTTTTCGTGAGCCATTCTTTTGACTGTTGTGTTAGCTTTGCGATTGATAAGCTCAAAGTTACTCTCATCACTCCACATATTGTTTTCCCATTGATCTTTTGTCCAATACCGTCTTTCACGACACCATTTTAGTCTCCTTTGTTTATCATATGGACGCAGAAGCGGTTTCTTAAAAGCAGTGTAGACTCTAATCTTGTATTTGATAAGTATTCGGCGGACTGTGCTGTAAGAAATAGATATATATCGCGTTGTATTGAAGTCTGTGGTCAATTCTTTGTAACTAATTCTTGGATTAGCTCTGACAGCTCCGAAAAGAACACTATCGTCCTTTCTAGTGGTTGACAAGTGTCTACCTGGCCTCGTTTTTTTGCTAGCACCACCAGTGTGAAAAAAGTTTTGTTTCGTTGTCCGAACGCATTTTTCTGAAATTCCAATTAACTTGGCCATTTCTCTATTACTTTTAATTCCTTTCTTTGATGTGCGCAACAATTTGCCAATCTTTCACCTTGACTAGTACGTCTTTTGCCCATTTTTTACGTTTTTTTAGTGCAAAACTAACTTAACTTTTGTTTATTTATTAAATAATGATTAACTTTTTCCAGGTAAGTCATATTTATATAAGGTTTTTTGACAAAATCATTTAATTTAGGCCTATTAATAAGAAATATAAAAAAAAAACTACTAATTAACTATCAATTAACAAGATATAAGACTTTTTTAATTGTGCGTCTAAATTTATGAACAAAATAAAATCAAGTTTATCAATTAACTTTTTTGTGTTAATCGGTATAGAATGAGTAATAAACATCCTGTAAAAAAAAATAAGGTACTCTATAAAAATGTTTCATTTCGTCTTTTAAGTTATATATCAAACATAGCGGTAGCACTTGTCTTTTATTTTTATTTGGAGTATTTTCTTACATATATAAAAAAAAAATGAATGCGTCTAAATTTATGAAAGCTACTGTATATATATATATATATATATATATATATATATATATATATATATATATATATATATATATATATATATATATATATATATATATATATATATATATATATATATATATATATATATATATATATATATATATATATATATATATATATATGTATATATATATATATATATATATATATATATATTTATATATATATATATATATATATATATATATATATATATATATATATATATATATATATATATATATATATATATATATATATATGTATATATATATATAAAATAACTTTATATATATATATATATATATATTTATATATAAAACAAATATATATTTATATATATATATATATATATATATATATATATATATATATATAGTATATATATATATATATATATATATATATATATATATATATATATATATATTATATATATATATAAATATATATATATATATATATATATATATATTTGTATATATATATATATATATATATATATATGTATATATATACATACATATATATATATATATATATATATATATATATATATATATATATATATATATAAATATATATATATATATATATATATATATATATATATATATATATATATATATATATATATATATATATATATATATATATATATATATATATATATATATATAAATACTCTTGCATGTCTCTTGCGTAGCATCAAAAAATATTTCCCATAAACTGTAGTTTTAAAGAGCGCGTTAATAAACCAGACCAGAAAAAGTTTTAAAAATTAAATTTTTTTTTTTAATTGATAGACTGCCTGGCGAAAACCAAACCCTCAGTCGATGTAGCAGCACTCTCTTGCGAGTCACGCTATTCGTCAG